TAAGGGCCTTTTTGGCTGCCACAACCACCCCGCCCGCCCTCTCATTCCCCCCTGCCCTTCTTCCCTACACTACCTAGGGGCTTTCTGGGTGCTGGGGGGCCACGTAGGGGCCCCAAGGGGGCTGCACGGCGGATGGGCGCCCTATGTTCCTCATCCCCAGGTGGGCCCACAGGGGGGTGGCACAGAGGCTTGGTGGTTAGCATGTCTGCCTTGCAGTGCATGGGTTGTGGGTTTGATTCTCGACTATGACACCTCCTGCATGCTTTGCATGGTTTGCATGCTCTCCCTGTACATGCATTGATTTCTAAGAGTCCGGGTCCCGCCCAGGACAAAGCCCCAACCAGGCACCTCAGGGAGATGACCTGGAGGAGGAACAACCGGATCTCTCCCTCCATGACCAGCTGTATGCAGGTCTTAAAAAAAAAAAAAAAAAAAAAAAAGGGAAGAGCGGCCACGCAGTCCATGCGTATTCTACTTTATGGTCCTCCATCAGAGGGGAATGGGAGGAGCCGGAAAAGGAGGCTCTTTCCCAAATACCTCAAGTGGGGATTCCCATTCAAGGAAGAAGATGCTGCACCGTGGGGACAGCATTCCGTGTGGCTCAGAGAGAAGCAACTTAGTCTATCACTGCAAAAGGCCCAGGTTCAAACCCAGGCTCAGGCACAAAATCTACTCTTAACTTGCCCAAGGCCAGATGCTCCCCTTTCTAGAACAAGGCGCCTCGGCGGGAGAGAGATCCAGGAGTCGCTGCCGGTCTTAGGGGAAACTGTGGCTTTCACTGCAGACGCATCGATGGAAGCTATTTGATTTACAAGCAAAAGTCTACTGCGCTTGTAAATTCTGCCAGAAGAGCTATCTGGTTAGAATCTTGGCAGGGGGATCTTGCCTCTAAATACGACAAAAGGAGACTAGGCACAGGCTGGGGATCAAGGATTAGTCAAGGGGAATGGAAGACTTCCTCTTCAACCCCAACCAGAATAGATCCAGGAACCGGTCCAAGTGACCGGAGGAGCCACGTGGGAGGAAGGCTGGGACACTTCCACATACAGTGGCTAAAAATCACTCGGAACACTTTATCTTAGATGCATTCCGAATGGCTACAGAATAGAGTTCTCAAGACCCCCCCCCCCCCCCCCCCCTCAAAGGTTCTTCGCAACACCCCTGCCAAAGGACAGGGGAAAAGCGGACATGTTAGTAGACCTCCTGGATGGGATGCTCGGGCAGAATGTAATTTGCCAGCTGGAGGAGGAAGAGAGGGGGAGTGGTTTTCTACTCCCATTTCTTCCTTAGAAGGAAGGCGTGGGAACCTGCGGAATGATACTCAACCTGAAAAAGGGGAACGAGTTCGTGGGACCAAAAACAAAAAAAAAAAAAAAAAGTTTTGCAAGGAGACCATACACACAGTGAACAGAACTACTGCCACCAGGGCGTATTTGTGGCTTAGATGGATTTGAAGGACACATATCTGCATGTCCCGATAAGGGAGGAATCAGAGAAGTTTCTCAGGGTTGCGCTGGAAGGCGCAGGGGCAACAATTCTATTCAGTTCAACGGAGGCAGCATGCAGGGGCGTGCATCTGTAATCCCAGCCCCTTTGGTGGCAGAGACTCTCAGACTGTTTGAGTCCAGGAGTTCTGGTCTCTCCTGAGCCATAGTGGTTGGCACGTCTGCCTTGCGGTGTATGGGTTGTGGGTTCGGTCCCCGACCGTGGCGCCCCCTGCATGGAGTTTGAGTGTTCGCCCGCGCTTGCAGGGGTTTCCTCTGGGTACTCCCATTTTCATGCACTCCCCTCCGGTCTGTCATCAGCTCCAAGGATATTCACCAATGTCCGAGCAGAACCGCTACTTTTATTTTCAAATACAGAGAGGGGTGTGGAATCCCACGTACGGTGCACAAATTCCTTCCCAGAGTACTTGGGATGGCTAATCAATAGGGGGGGAATATCCCAGCTAATACCTCCCAGAAGGATCACGTATCTGAGGTATGCCCTGGATTCCAAGAATACCTGCTTATACCTAACGGGGGATGGCGACCTGCACGAATGGGCAGCACAGTGGCTAAATGGTTAGCACTTCCGCCTGACAGTACTCGGGTCGTTGGTTCAGATCCCAGCCACAGCACCACCTGCCTGGAGTTTCCATGTTCTCCCTGTGACTGCGTGGGTTTCCTCCCACACTCCGAAGACATGCTGGTAGGTTAATTGGCCCTAGTATGCCAGTGCTGCAATGAGGTTAGTGGGGCGCGCATGACAGCTGCCATACCCGGAGTGCAATGGGCACAGTTTCACTCCAGAATACTGCAGGACCATGTCCTCTCCCACTGGGATGGCAGCCAAGCAGCCTTAGATTCCAGGATCCGCCTCACACGCATGAGGAATTCGCTAAAGGGGGGGGGGGGGGAGAACATCCACACCTTAGAGGCTGGGAGAAAATGGCTGCAGGTCAGCCCGGAAAGAATCACCACAGATGTGAGTATGTCTGAGTGGGGTGCTCACATGGAAGACCGCCTGGCCCAGGGCAGGTGGGACGCGAAAATCTCGGACAGATCATCAAACTACAAGGAATTGTTGGCTTTCCAGGGTACGAGAGGGGAAGGAAGTTCAGATCTTATCCGACAACGCAACGGTTGTCACGTACTTAAACAGATAGGGGGGGCACGAGGGGCCCCGAGACTGATGGATCTGGCAGAAACCCTCCTGAGCTGGGCAGAGACAAACCTAGAGTCCATCATAGCAGCGCATCTGAAAGGATATCTCAAACAGTTGGCGGACCAAATGAGCCGGAGAGAGGTCACTCAGACAGAGTGGTGCCTCAGCCGTACATCATTCAATCAAACCTGCGCCAGATGGGGCACTCCCTCCGCGGATCTCTTCACCAACAGCCAAAATACAAAACTGGGGAGGTACTGCAGCCTGCAGAAGGACCCCAGGAATGCAGGGAGAGATGCATTAGCCCCGCATTGGGAGGGAGACCTTCTCTATGGGTTTCCTCCGTTCAGACTGTTGCCGGAAGTGATGCAGAAGATTCAGTCATCCCAAGCCAAAGTCATCCTGATTGTACCTTTTTGGCCCAAAGGGCCATGGTTTGCCCAGCTGAAGGAAGTAAGCTCAACGGACCCATGGATGATACCGCCCTCACACGATTTACGGGGGGGCAAGGGGAGGTGCTACACCCTCACCCAGGAGAACTTTCCCTAGCAGCGTGGCTTCTGAGTGGGACAGGCTAGCCAGGAAAGGCCTGTCAGAGAAAGTGGTCGCCACCATCTTAGACAGAAGGAAGAAATCGACAAACACCGTATATGATTAACTTGGAAGAAGTTCTCCGCCTGGAAAGATAGGAATGGGTCGCCGGGGGCTCCCATCTTACATACAGCATGGGAATTCCTCCAAGCCGGGGTAGATAAGAACCTGGCTGCAAATTCCCTTAAGGTGCAGGTAGCAGCACTATCAAACTTTCTGGAATTAGGATTGGCGGCAGACCCATTATTAATCAGGTCCCTGAGAGCTATCTCTAGGCGCCGAGTCCTGCCCACGACGAAGCACCCTACATGGGACCTGGGCACAGTTCTGACGAGTTTTTTTCAGCAAGAACCTTTTTGAGCCTTTGGAGGTGTGCTCCTTTAGACTTTTTGACTCCTAAAACCATCCTGCTTGTAGCAATTACGTCTGCCCGCAGAGTCAGCGAACTGCAAGATCTGTTGGTAATAGAACCATACTGCACTAGCCTGCGGGACAGAACCATCCTCCGCACGGATCCGGCGTTTCTACCTAAGGTTGCGTCACATTCTCATAAGTCGCAGGAAGAAATAATACCATCCCTGGAGGGAGACTACAGCAGAATTGATGATCCAAGGAAGGGGGACAGTGCCTCCAAAGGCACCATCACAAGATGGGTAGGAGAGGCCATTTCTGAAGGTTATAGAGCTGCGTCTGTCACCACCGGCCGGCCTAAAGGCGCATTCGACCAGGGCCACCGCAGCCACATGGGCGGAAAAGGCGGGGGCCTCCCCTGGACAGATCTGCAATGCCGCAACATGGTCCAGTTTCGTAACCTTCGCTAGACACTCCGGATTTGACCTAATCGGCAGCAAGGACCAGGTGTTCGGCAGGAAGGTCCTACGAACAAAGGGCCCACCCTAGAGCATGTATTTCTATTCTACTCCTCTCAAGTGAGCTGTCCTAGAAGATGACTCGGGAAAACGCAGTTATTTACCTGTTAACTGTATTTCCAGGAATCTTCTAGGACAGCGTAACTCCCTCCCGATTGCTGTGTGATTATGTACTAGGGTTTCGTCATGCTTGAAATCGTCATTGTGTCTCTACTACCATTTTTATGCTTTCTCCTAGGCCTTCGGTCATATTCTTATACTGAGGGTCCCCTGGGAGAGAGAGGCTACTTATAGAGGAAAAAGGTGGAGCGGGTGTTTCCTGGGAGGAGCCTATCTCTCAAGTGAGCTGTCCTAGAAGATTCCTGGAAATACAGTTAACAGGTAAATAACTGCGTTTTACTGCTCCCCCCAATGACTCCCCCTTAAGCTGTAAAGGCAGTGGGCAGGAGTGTACACATGCCACAGCAGGCAGTTATGCCCACAAAATGTGACCCTTTCACCTGACTGTGGCTACGCTCCAACCTGTACTTGCATTGCACATGGTTGAGGGACGGTGGTGCTGTTCTTTAGGGGTGCTAAGGAGAAGGCACCTTCACTGCCTGTCAAATGCCATTTGCAGAGCAACCCACCACTGCTCTTCAGAGGGCACAGCAGCATCAGCTGGCACGCTAACATATTGCATGTTACACCCCAAATATGGGTGTATCATGTAACATGTTAGCAAAGGTGAACTTATCCTTTAATTTTTTTTTTTTTTCTTACTTTAATCCAGGTAGCACTAATCACAAGTACAAATACAGATGTTGAATCTCCATCACAGACAGCAAGTTAATTCCTTACAGGGGTTCTATTCCTTATCAAAGTTTCAGCTTTAGATACACTTATAGCAGGACTGCGGGACTGCGGCAGACATTCTGACACTGGGGGGGGAACTGACTTGGTTTCACTGACATCCCCAGTGACACCAATACAATGACTAGTGCTAAAAAAAAGCACTGACAGTACAAATGGCACTGGGCAGGAATGGTTTAACATGCGGGGCGATCAAAGGGTTAACTGTGTGCTGGGAGTGTTTTACTAGGGGGCCGTGTCAGTGTGCTTCACTGTAAGCACATTGCTTTTGGATGGCTGTGCTGTGCACAGCCATCCAAAGCAGTGTGCCTGAACTGACAGGGAGTAGGACTGTTAGTAAACAAAACAGTCCTCCTCCCCATCGGAGATGCTTGGTAATCACTGGGTGCCCGCGGGTAATCACCGTCCGGAACCCGGTGATTGACAGCCACGGCCACGAATGGCGGCGCAGGTCGCGCACACCCCCTACCTGGAAATGCAAAATCACGTATATATAATCTGCTATGTAGAGCCATACAAAGCAGTGTGCTGGAGCTGGGAGAGATCTGTATTGTTTACATACAGTTCTCTCCCCCCCGTCGGTATTACTCGACGATCACCAGGTGCTGGTGAGTAATCACCTGCTGGAACCCAGTGATTGACAGCCGAGACCGCAAATGGTGGCGGAGGTAGGGCTCACACGTAGCTCGCACCCGCCCCCTAACTGGAGATGCAAAGTCACGTATATATACGTGATTTTGTGCACCCCTGCCGCCCTGTAGCAGTATTTCTGCTATACGGCGGCGGTAAAACAATTAATGTTTGAAGCACCGAATCAGCCGATTCTTTTTGCATTAACATTTTTCATTATTATAAAAAATGCAGTACATATGAAATGAAAACATATTACATTTAATACAGTAAGGTATAAAAGTGAATAAGAGGATGATTCCTATTTATTGTGTTTGGGTTGGATGGAGGTGGATCCATCACAAATCGCCAAATTATAACATAAACATATGAATCCAAAATGAATTTTGCTCCATCCGTTACTTTCAGATGCACATGACTCCAGTCAATATCATCCAATCAACTTATTCCATTCCTTTTTGTGGTTTGGACTAGCAGGGATGACTCAGAGTGCATAAGTAATCTCTCGAAATAACGAATTAAACACATTAAAATGAACATAGCCAATCTTCCGAAATAACTTCCAAAAATACGAATTGATTCGGAACAACGAATATATGAAACAAATCCAAATATACTAAACAAATCCGAATATACGAAAAGAATTCTGAAAATGAATCATTCTATCATAACGAATACGATGAAATGAAATGAGTTACTTATTACATAGTTACATAGTTAGTCTGGCTGAAAAAAGACAAAAGTCCATCCAGTTCAATCATTAAAAACAATAAAAAAGTTATAATCCTATACCCACAGTTGATCCAGAGGAAGGCAAAAAAACCAGCAAAGTATGATCCAATTTGCTCCTGCAGGGAAAAAAAATTCCTTCCTGATCCCTCGAGAAGCAATCAGATATTCCCTGGATAAACTCTGCAATCCACTGAGCTGGCCAGAACCAATTCTTGAGGGAGTCTATTCCACATTTTCACAGCTCTTACTGTGAAGAAACCTTTCTGTGTTTGGAGATTACATTTGTTTTCCTCCAGACGTAAAGAGTGCTCCCTTGTCCTCTGTGATGACCTCAGGGGGAATAACTACACCTTGTTCACTATATGAACCACTGATGTATTTTATACATGGAGATCATATCCCCCCTTATGTATTATACATGGAGATCATATCCCCCCTTATGTATTATACATGGAGATCATATCCCCCCTTATGTATTATACATGGAGATCATATCCCCCCTTATGTATTATACATGGTGATCATATCCCCCCTTATGTATTACACATGGTGATCATATCCCCCCTTATGTATTATACATGGAGATCATATCCCCCCTTATGTATTATACATGGTGATCATATCCCCCCTTATGTATTATACATGGTGATCATATCCCCCCTTATGTATTATACATGGAGATCATATCCCCCCTTATGTATTATACATGGTGATCATATCCTCCCTTATGTATTATACATGGAGATCATATCCCCCCTTATGTATTATACATGGAGATCATGCCCCCCCTTATGTATTATACATGGAGATCATATCCCCCCTTATGTATTATACATGGTGATCATATCCCCCCTTATGTATTATACACGGAGATCATATCCCTCCTTATGTATTATACATGGTGATCATATCCCCCCTTATGTATTATACATGGTGATCATATCCCCCCTTATGTATTATACATGGTGATCATATCCCCCCCCCTTATGTATTATACATGGAGATCATATCCCCCCTTATGTATTATACATGGTGATCATATCCCCCCTTATGTATTATACATGGAGATCATATCCCCCCTTATGTATTATACATGGAGATCATACCCCCCCTTATGTATTATACATGGTGATCATATCCCCCCTTATGTATTATACATGGTGATCATATCCCCCCTTATGTATTATACATGGTGATCATATCCCCCCTTATGTATTATACATGGTGATCATACCCCCCCCTTATGTATTATACACGGAGATCATATCCCCCCTTATGTATTATACATGGAGATCATATCCCCCTTATGTATTATACATGGTGATCATATCCCCCCTTATGTATTATACACGGAGATCATATCCCCCCTTATGTATTATACATGGTGATCATATCCCCCTTATGTATTATACATGGAGATCATATCCCCCCCTTATGTATTATACATGGAGATCATATCCCCCCCTTATGTATTATACATGGTGATCATATCCCCCCCTTATGTATTATACATGGAGATCATATCCCCCCTTATGTATTATACATGGAGATCATATCCCCCCTTATGTATTATACATGGTGATCATATCCCCCCTTATGTATTATACATGGAGATCATATCCCCCCCTTATGTATTATACATGGAGATCATATCCCCCCTTATGTATTATACATGAAGATCATATCCCCCCTTATGTATTATACATGGAGATCATATCCCCCCTTATGTATTACACATGAAGATCATATCCCCCCTTATGTATTATACATGGTTATCATATCCCCCCTTATGTATTATACATGGAGATCATATCCCCCTTATGTATTATACATGGTGATCATATCCCCCCTTATGTATTATACATGGTGATCATATCCCCCCTTATGTATTATACATGGTGATCATATCCCCCCTTATGTATTATACATGGTGATCATATCCCCCTTATGTATTATACATGGTGATCATATCCCCCCTTATGTATTATACATGGTGATCATATCCCCCCTTATGTATTATACATGGAGATCATATCCCCCCTTATGTATTATACATGGAGATCATATCCCCCCTTATGTATTATACATGGTGATCATATCCCCCCTTATGTGTTATACATGTTGACAGGAGCAGACTGACAACTCATGTGGCCCCCAGGCAATAGGGGATCATGGGGCCCCTGTGTCCTTGCCCAAACTCAAAAAAGCCTATGAAAAAGGTACCAGGGGCATCTCATGGGGCTCCCTATGGACCCCGGGCCCTCGGACAGTGTCCGAGTTTCCAAATGGTCAGTCCGCCCCTACATGTTGATCATATCCCCCCTTAATCTCCTCTTCTCAAGACAGAATAAATTCAGTTCCTCTAATCATTCCTCATAGCTGAGCTCCTCCGTGCCTCGTATCAGTTTGGTTGCCCTTATTGAATTAATCTGAATTGAAACACCTTTTACCATTGTGCACATCTCTAGCGAGGAGCAAATTCCCTGAAATCGGTAACAAGTAGGGGGAAATTTACTATTATGGGGGTGGGGGTAGGGATGTAAAGAGGTGGCCTGGGAGGTGATGGTCTGTTTTAACAAGGAACAAGCTGATAGGAGGAGAGAGCAGAGCTCATCTGTTAGCTGCTTCTCCTTTAGTGCCCAGTCAAAGACTGGAGGCAGGACAAGACTGGTTGCATTACTTGACCATGTTAGGAAAATTTCACTGCTCCAAGCTAGCTGTTCTGTGCAGATGTGCTGTTAAAATCTCAGGGACATATGAACAGAAATTCAAATCCTTTTAAGAGGTAAAACAGCTCTCATGTATGTGAGAGTCTGGAGTCATATGAATAGACTAAAAGTAAGCATATCATAAAACAAGGCAATTCAAACTGAGCATATGATCAGAAAATGTATAACCATTGCTCAACCTCAGTTAAAAACACATGGCAGAATCATCAGTAGATTATTAAAAGGTTACCCAATTGGGAAAATGTGTCATTCAAAGAATTAAAAGCAGTCAAAGCAGATCTCTGCCTTTCCTGAGCTTGGATCACTTCCATGACTCCTGAGCCACCCCAACAAATTCAGCTTGGATCATCTCCATGCCTCCTGAGCCACCCTCCACAAATGAAGCTTGTATCACCTCCATTGGTCCTGAGACACCCCCGTAAATGATATTTGGATCACTTCTATGTCTCCTGAGACCCCCACAAATTAAGCTTGGATCTCCTCCATGCCTCCTGAGCCACCCTCCACAAATGACGCTTGTATCACCTCCATTGCTCCTGAGACACCCCCATAAATGATGTTTGGATCACTTCTATGTCTCCTGAGACCCCCACAAATTAAGCTTGGATCTCCTCTATGCATCCTGAACCACCCCCTAAAAAATTATGTTTGGATCACCTCCATGCCTTCTGGGCCACCTACAAATTATGCTTGGATCACCTTTATGCCTCCTGAGCCACCCCCACAAATTAGGCTTGGACCACCTCTGAGCCTCCTGAGCCACCCCCACAAATTTAGCTTGGATGACCTCCATGGCTCCTGAGCCACCCTCAACAATTAAGACTAGATCACCTCGAAACCTCCTGAGCCACCCCCACAAATTAAGCTTGGATCACCTTTATGCCTCCTGAGCCACCCCCATAAATTAGGCTTGGATCACCTCCGAGCCTCCTGAGCCACCCCAACAAATTAAGCTTGGATGACCTCCACACCTCCTGAGCCACCCTCCACAATTAAGCCTGGATCACCTCCGAGCCTCCTGAGCTATCCCCACAAATTATGCCTTGATCACCTTTATGTCTCGTGGTCCACCCTCTACAAATGAAGCTTTGATCACCTCCTTGCCTCCCGAGCCACCCTCCACAATTAAGCCTGGATCACCTCCAAGCCTCCTAATCCACCCCCACAAATTAAGCTTGGATGACCTCCATGCCTACTGAGCCACCCTCCACAATTAAGCTTTGATTACCTCCATACCTCCCTAGCCACCTTATGGGTCAACAAGGCCATCCATAACAATAAAGGAACAATAGAGACACTCTGCAGAGGGGAGGGCTACAGTCAAGGTCACCTTTCAAAGTAAAGATTGAGGTTTGCACATAACTTTAGTTGCCACTTTCTCCAGATCTTCTGTTT